ATGCCTACTAGTTTGCGAGCTTTTGGAACTTTTATAGACATTTGCTCAGAGAAAGACGAACTGTTGGAGTATCGCAGCCCCACGTAAAACCAACTTTGGGCGTGTTTGCTCAGTCGTCATAAGATTTGCTCCTAGTTCAGAGTACAAACTAGTTGCAGAAGCAGTGATACAGAGACTGGAAGTCATCATTTTACCTGTGATGAAAGCGAAAATTTGAATCCGCTATGTGGACGATACTTTTTTCATCATCAAAAATTGATTTTGAGAAAAAACTTGGAGTGTGATCAACAATGTTTTCAAGGACATTGAATTCACAGTGGAGAAGGAGTCGAACAACGAACTCTTATTTCTGGATGCTTTAGTTAGTAGAAGTCAGAAAACTGAAAATCCAAGTGTACAGAAAGCCAACGTACATTGATCAAATCCTCAACTACAGTAGCAACAACGCAAAAATTAGTTGAGTGCAGACTTTATTCAAAAGAGCGAGGACACTACAGTACAGCAACTTCAAGGAGAAAAGAAGAAATTTCCTTGATGCCTGTTCTAAAGGATAACGGTTACCCACAAAGCTTTATCAGAAGGTGCCTATAACGTGCATCATCAACTACAAAGTCATTGACAGAAATCAATAAACGGATCATCTTACTGCACATAAAGAATATATCAGAGACCACGACAAAGTTACTGAGACCACTTGGAATTGGTGTGGCTCATAAACCAATAATTTCACTCCAAACCATATTACACGGACCAAAGCACGTAACAGACAAAGAAGACAAACGAAATATCATTTAAAAAATCAACTGAAATAATTGTGATCAACACTACACTGGACAGTGGTCGCGTTCTCCTCCATTCATATGAATGCCAATTGGCTATTAAACATCAAATTTCTTCGGCCATTTCAATGCACGTGGACATGAATTCAGTTTTGACAATGCAGGAATCTTGGACAGAGGGAACATAAAGAATTCCTAGAAGCCTGGCATTCAGCAATCAATAGATGTATAGATATAGACCCAATCTATCAAACAATAAAAATTATGATCATCAGAAAAATCATGAGTCAAGCACAGGAAAAACCAACAAAAAAATCTGCGACACAACAATTAAAGGAAACGATCAGTCACAAAGCAGTTCGTCAACACAAGCCCCTGGATCACTGAAGGAAAGATACTGACAACTCACTTCATATCGAAGTTAGGGCTAATGATGTGATCTAGAAAGACAATGAAAGCTCCAGGACTAAACAACCCAGCTAAGAAAAAACAACGCAACCAAGATCATCCACCTGAGCTACAAATATTCTTCACTATCTCACAATAATAACCAATGAGAAAATCGTTCGACATAACTCCATGAGACGTACACTCTTATGCGTCTGTCTAGACAGTCTTATTATATTATATATTATTAGTCCCTTGGGTTCCTAGTGGAACATAGGGCTTCAGTAGCACGCCTCCAGTGACCTCTGTTCTCTGAGATCTTTTGAACCTGGTTCCACGACAGCCCATAAGCTCTCATTTCCTCCTCGCACGACCTCCTCCATGTCACCCTTGGACGTCCAACTCGTCGCTTCCCATGGGGATTCCACTCGAGGGCCTGGCGCGTGATATCCCCAGTCGGCCTTCTCAGTGCATGGCCAATCCATCTCCACTTCTTCCTGCATATTTGTTGCGTGATAGGTTCTTGGTTGGTTCGTTCCCAGAGTTCCTTGTTCTAGACAGTCTTAACTCATCACAAAAGACTTATCGCCAGCAGTGAGGAACACTCAAGAAAGAACCATCATAGATAAGACATTTGAAAAAAAACTGAATTCTTCCTACCGTCACAAATCTGTGAAAACTTGTCTATCGTCCGTTCGAAAGAAACCTTCCTCCCATATTCTATGTAGCAGTTCGGAAGTTACATGGACGATTACTTGAATGGTGACTATTTGTGTTGTCTCTTGAACACTGATACACTTTCAGATAAAATGTATGGGATCCTGTGTTTACGTAAGTTTCTAAATTGTAATTTTAAAACCCATTTTCTCAACGCCAACTACTTGCGATAAACGAATTTACACTACAAATTCATTACGGAACCAATATTATTGAGTGCATACAGTTGTTTGACTATATTTTAAGAAACCAAGATGAAACGAAAAACTCTTTACTCAGTCATTCAAGTATTTTTACAACTACTTGTATCCGACCTGTTATGATCACTACTGTATGTCACGCAAAATAAAACTTACATAGCAACATGACGAATACCGCTAGTTTACAATGCTCATACTGTTAGCTGTTCATTTCACTTAATTACTGCTATTTTTCTGTACTTCAGTAAGCTTTGCACACCACTTTTTGTCTACTTCACCTTGTATAATGCGATACGAGATGTAGCGAGCGACTTAGACCATTAGGTGGCTATGTCAGTTTCCATGTTGACATTGATTAACGAATAAGCAAAAAGAACAATTCAATGAAGTCTATTCGTGAACAGAAATCAATTTTAGATGAAAAAAAGTTAATAAGAAGAATGTACATAAAAAGTAGAGGACGTAAGAATAAAAATCAGTAGCCTATGAAGAAAGTTGAGTTGGAAGTTTGGAGAGACTGACTATCCAGACAGGACTACTGTTTGAAATCAATAGAATAGACTAGTGTGGCATACTCAATACTATTCCCCAAATACTTAAAGCAGTACATAATATGGAATTATATTCCACTGTAGTGTCTAAGTTCTACTATTACTAAAATTTATAATTTGTGTAGTCTCCAGCTAACAAACATTAAGTATTAGCCAATTAGTTATTCATTGGCATAACTGTAAGAACTTAATCGATACTCGTCAGAAAGAACATGAAAAAGGTTTTTTTCTTAGTGAACCCCTGACGTCTGGACAACCGTCGTGAGTATTTAGGCGTAAAAGAAATGAAGTCTAATGACATGAAACTATGCAACAAGGTGTACTCAACTTAACAAGTTTTATAGAATGAAACTTTTGAATGACCATCTGGTATATGATCTAGATAAAATTGCTGGTACATTTCAGTATCAAGAATTCTTGGTTATTTTATGTTGGGTGTATTGTATGCTACTATGAACGGATAGAAAATATATTACCGAGAATATATGACGGGGATTTCCAAACTTCAATTCATTTTTCCGTTCAACAATAATCATTGGAACTTTATATATACCTGCTTAATAATAATAATAGCGTGATGCAATATGGAATTCTCAGCATGTAACACTGAACAAATTCACTCCTAGAACAATATTTCCAAACGAGATAATGCTATAACAATATTAAAGGCAATAATGTGAAAGTTGCAGCTGAAGCTGAATAACCGTCCAGTCTATAATAGAGAATGAACAGAAAACCAGCACAAGAATGAGCTATTCGAGCTAAGTATGCGAGGAACAGATGTATTTTTGTGCATTTAAAAGTTCATTTACGTCAAATATGACACTTCCCCTTCGTTTCATTATTAACTCGCAAAACAGCTAGTTAAACACATTTTTTAAATGTGCAATAGTACATGATATGTTTAGAGGATATATTTGAAAGATTGTAACAATCTGTGAAAGGGAAAAACTTGATGTAATATGTCTAATGGAAAATGTTTGGTGTCTCAAACTTCACGCAGACTTCCAAGATGAGTAGGTTGAAAATAGCTGTCTACTAACCTGTTGTTGTGCCATTTATGTTCCGCTCAAACTAAAGAAATTGGTTTGCATTCAAAAGTTGTTTACTGAATAAATTAAAAAGAAAGATTATTACCATTTCGAATGTATATTTTCATTCGCAGTCTTCAGGTTAGTTTTTCAGAATTCAATAACCCTCAAGTTTAGTAGCGCTTAGCTGTAAATTCTTCAGTCATTGTCACTTAAATATAGCCAATTATTTACTTGCTTTAAGCATAAGCATATAACAGATTGTTGTTTTTTTGAAAAGTGATTCAGACTTTTAATCGAGTAAATATTCAGTCTTTCATTGGTATTCATCTTGGTCAAAAATGTTCATCAGTTAAGAGCTTCTTCTAATTGTAAATTTCCTGATTTAACATCTGATCAACCTAGATGTAGCGAATAATGGAAATTCTTGATGATACCACAGATATAAGAGTGCTAAATTTGAACTAATTTCCACCAACATGTATGGTGATTCTCCTGAGACAGTGAGCACATAGGAACAGGTCACGAAATTATTATACCTTTGGTAATTATCTACCTCACATAAATCACTGATGACATACAAAGTGTAAAATACTCTGAAAGGTAGTGAATCTGAGAAAGTTTTTCAACAAATATCAAAGCGGTAATCATTTCTTCACTGGTTTATTCGAAGTTTTATTGGTTTTAGTCTAAATTGCTAAAAGAATAATGCTCTATTTGTGATTGAGATCACACAGATGGCTACAGTCACCGATTACGGTGATGACTGGGTATGTCTTGCGCGTAAACAACTACTGTAACAAACGGAAACATTATCTATGGATACTTATGATTTCCCGTTATTCTGGATAGAAAAGATTGACGTCTCTTGGCATAAAGGCTTCTATGTGGATGCCTTGATATTACCAAGCAAATCACAACATAATGAGTAACTAGGCAGTATCAAGGCATCTGCATACCAGCCCACATTCGAAGAGGTGGCTCAATTCGACCCAGAATAACAACGGGAAATCACAAGTATCAATAAGTGATAATAGTAACTAATACCCAATTCACAATATCTGGCTTTTGTGCTTTAACGATCTGGTGGATAACACTTTAGCATTTGAAGAAATTGCTCCTAGTTTCGTGTCTCAGTGGGAAGAACATCCCTCACTAGGGTGTAAAGCACATCCAGCTGACGAGTCCCAAATAGGATGAAACGCTAGACCCGGATTTACCACCAAGTAAATCACAACAAAGCGAAAAGGAGCTTTGTCCTTAGTTCTAAAATAAGTGGACAACACTCACTTCCTTACTTCTCTGAGTACTTGAAATCTAAGAAAAGTGTTTGCTAATATACATGAAAATGGTATATTATATAAATATAAATAAACTTCGCAGTGAAATAAAAACTACATTACAGGCGAAATAACACTATTACAAGTAGTAGCAGGACAAAGATAACAACACCAACGGGACAGCTTTTCATTCAAAAAATTAATTAAGAAGAATAAATCACCTGGAAATTGCGAGACAGGTTCGAAAGCGCCAAAAATGCCTAAATTCAAAACAGATAACAATAATAAGTACTAATCATACTGTTATTAACTACTAAAACTTTTTATTATCATTTATTTATTTAATTCAAACAAAAAAAGGTATTTTATTAAAATTAGGAAAAATAATGAAAAATCAAAAAATGAAACAAAAGACGAATATTATACTAAGAAATAATATAAGTAGCTAAAAAACAAAAGTAGAATTAGTGACCGTTAAATAATTCGATCGGATAAAAACGTGAGCAACGATTAAAGATGCCTAGTAATATATACTATACAATCAATAAGGTAATATGTTATATAGTTTATAAGCCTATATGTATAAATTTCTGTATAAGTAGATAGAAAAGACTAGAAGTAGCACGTGCTCATCGAATAGGGGTGAGAATAAAGAGGCAGAAAAATATGAAAGTAAAGTGAAATCCAGGACAGGTTGCATAGCGAAACCCACCGGTTACATGAATCTAAGATTAGTAAGCGTTGTAACAGTAATGGCAAGAAAGATAACAATATAAATATTCAAAAGATAAGAGATGACCTGGAAAACGTTTAGTCAACATCATTTAAACTTTCTAATCTACTACTAGATGAACAAATCATAACAGAATCTGTAAGCTTATTACATCTGTAAATATCAGGTAATGAAGTTCGTTCTGATTGTATTTCAAGTGGTGGATGATAGACAGTAGTTTGGAGATCTTCTGAATTTGGCAGGGAAACAGATAACTGAGGACTTGTAGATAAATTGGTTGAATGATAGCTACTGGAATAATTTCCATGCTGTAGAGCAGTACTATTTTCAGGAGAGGCTGGAGGATCAGGCGTCCAAAAACATTCACCTATGTATACGGAAGTGTATGTTGGAAAGAGAAAGAAGAAATCGTTTATTTCTAAAAATACATCAACAAATTATAGAAAACAGTACAAAATTTTGTGTTAAAAAAGGCATATTATTTACGTATAAAAACGTCTGGTAAACATAAAACTAGTTGAGAGCATACTAATAAAATGCAATGCCAAATAAAGTATCATTGAGAATTACATTTCTAGGGAGGATACAATAACCTAAATAGTATCCACAAGTGACTCCACAGTCTTGAATAAAACAGGATACTAAACTACAAATTAGAGTTAAGTAAATAGTTCTTTAAAGTTTAGAAATCAAAACTGTGAACTTTTAACAGAAGAAAGTTCCTGAAAAGACTGAGTATGAAATCTGTAAAACTGTGTTACAGTTATATAGCGTCCATTGAACGTTCAACGTTTTTATGAAACTCCAAACTGCATAAAACGCGCATACAATAAGTCGAAATACTGGGAAGAAGACAAATATTGGTCACTTTAAACTGTTGAGACTGAAATTAACAGGCAGAATTGATAGCTAAACTATACATTTAGATGGAGGACCCACATAGACCTAATTTAAAAAGGTAATTAGGAAAACTGGGTAACGAAAAGCGACCACTAAGCGGTAACCAGTAACTTGGATATAGTACTTTACAATTGGAAACGCACTGAATATGCAGAATTCAACGCGCGGTAGATCATACTGAATTGTTTCATTCAGCTCACATGTGAGACCATCATAAGTAGAGCTATGGCTTAACTGGTCTAGCTAGTTGATTTCTTACCAGTGGATCGCATGCTCAAACCCTAATCCACCCACAGAGGTAAGGGTAATTTAGTAGCATCACTATCCCTCACAAAACAGGTGTGGTTCATTGTCTAATGCACGAACATTCCCATGGTTTCTGAGTACATTTCGATTGTAGAATCCACCATGTAAGAAATGTACAGTTTAAGCACAGGATATTATACAAGAAAGGCGAGTCAGTTAGTGAGGTTGTAGACCTGCAACAACTGACGTGGATTAGACACATTCTGAGGATTGAGTTATCGCCTACCTTAACGTCTGATGTCAGCTGAGCTGGACTAGGTTGGAAGAAGACCAAAGATGTCTAAACTAAGGTGCAGAACTACAGTGAGATTGCTAATTGTCGGCCTGAGCCGACCATGTTGCATAGCTGCGGTCAAAAAGTTGTTAGGAATCGATAGTAGGAAGCTTTCGATCTCGTGATACGAATGTATTCAGTCTTTATTATCTTTGAATATTTTATAAACTTCATTCCACTTGTCCTTTCCTTCGGCAAAGCTTCGTCTACTTTAATTTCGTAATTTCTCTGCTCAATTTTTCCTGAGTTTCTGTGGGATGTGACAACTTGAACTGATGTGGGTTTGTGAAGGTCTTACTTCCTCTTTTACTAGTTCGACATATTTAGCAGTGATACAACGGCAGGATGAATTTACGAAAGAAAGGAGGGTGTCGTAACCGAAGGGTAAAGTAAGGCCTTCGTAAAACTGACAAGCTATGACATTTTATCGGAACGGAATATAAAGTGGTTGGGGTCATATTTGATCAGAGGAAAAATTTTACATCCTATAGACTTCGTAAACAAGTCACCATCTGAACACACAACTCGCATTTGCCCATGATTTTGTACTCCAGAGATTTCGACTGAACTGAACATAATAAAAGTTATCCGTAATCCTCATATTCGGGATTTCTTTTGATTTACAACTAATGTTTATACAGGTGAATAATATATTCACAACACACAGCGAATATTAAATACGCAATATAACCGTTTAGGCTGGGAAATAAGAGACATAGTTTACAGTTAATTAACTATTATTTTTCAACGAAAAGGCATGAAACAATAATCGGTGGATTGCAGCAATGCTGTGGCTCAGTGGTTTAGGGAGATGACTACCAACTATTGCGTCACTAGTCTGAGCCCCGCCCTACCTACCGAGGTTTGGGCAGCCAGATAGTATCATTAACCCTCACACAATCGGTGTGACTCATTGTCTACTACACGGATGCGCACAAGGTAGCTGAATGTATCTGCTGTCTACATATGTGTAAAAAATTATTAACTGAGAATAACTATCTTTTAAAACAAATGCAATAATTCTCTCTGGAGGTTTATGGAAATTTATTAATTAATTTTAGGTTGGAATTCATCACGGTCTGACACCGGTTGGGGGAACATTAGAAACCTGGGAGCACTGGATAACTGTTTCATCCTAGTATGAGACTCCTCAGCAGTGTGCACCCATGACCTCCTGATAGAATTAATCTTTCGGTCATTGGTGGCTGGCTTCGAGAGGTGATTCTCAGGGTTCTAATGAGAATTTGTGACCAGTGAGAGTCAACCAAGTTGAACATGAGGACAGTTACTCAACGATGACATTGGATGTAGGTCGCACCATATAGTGAACTTACAGAAGTAGGAAATATGGACACCATTAGATTTCGATCCTGTGGCTCAATGGTAACGTGCCAGCCACGGAACCTGAAGGTCCTGGGTGCGTACAGCTGGGGAGTCCCATACTAGGAGGAAACAGCTGACTAGTGCTTTCAGGTTTCTGATGTTCCTCCAACTGATATAAGTTCATGATGAATTCCAACCTAAAATGCAATAGTTGATCAAAATATGCTTGATTCAATCCTAAGTCATTTTTTAACTGGCTCATTATAACACATATCGCTGAGGATCATGGAGTGTCATTAATGATCGAGAAGTGTAAACACAGACGGGGCAAAGCAGAACCTTATACTAAGGTAAAGCGATTCAGATCAATTAGTATACATAAACGAAACGGGCTCAGCAAGTTTGTGTACATTCGGGCAGTAGGCAATGAGCCACACCTATACTTGGTTACCTAAATCTTGGTAGGTGGAGAGGGGTTCGAACCTGTGGCACACTGGTTGGTAGTTACTTCTCTAAACCACCGGGCCACAGCTCCACTTTAGTATACTTGGATTATATTAACACTTGATCAAACTATTGTTTGATGCAACATTCGAAAAAACAACCGAGAAAAATATATTTAAGCAAATAAAAACAAAAAAAATCTGTGAATTACCTTCTTCAACCTTCGCACCATTAATCGAACGTCCAGTTTCATCATCTTGACTAGCCGATTTCGCCAAATTCTCTACTTCAGTTAGTAATGATACTGTGGACAGTAAACGCTCACTTGTTATTTGATAGCTGGGCAACTTTTCATCGGTTAATAAATCCACATCAGTATCTTTTATCTGTAAAGACGGTGCTATACATTGATCATCAGTTATTCTATCATTAGTGGAGAGTACATTTAATACCGCAAGCTTTTCTACAGATTCAGAATTAATTATCATATCTACAATAAATAAGTTAAATATCTAGTTTTTACTATAGTAATAATAATGATAATAATTGTAATAGCCACATATATTTGTTTAACCAGAAATTTAATCGATTCTCATAGTTACGAAATGTAAACAGTTCAATAACCAAAAAAGCGGAAACAAAAATAAATATATGTCAATTTTCTAGGTTGAAAATAAAAATAAGACAAAACAGTTTTCGGACTAATTTTAAGCATTTTAAGTCCAACAATAAGACGCAATATACGATGAATAGATTGTATAGACAGACAGTTGCATAAAAAATAGATTAGTTACAGTCGTCATACTTTACGACATAATAGAGAAAAGGAGAATAAACTGAAACAAAAAGACGCTAAAATCAATAAGGAATGCAGAGTGAATGAATAAATGTGTCAAGAGCGTTGAGATGTTTAAAATTTTGTTGAAGATAAAGAATAAATGTCTGAACATCACTTTGATCAACTTAAACTCATATTCATATCCTAATATTGAAAGGAATCATAACCAGATAGGATTTATCTTCCTATAGAGTTTAGATCACTTGTTGATGCGATTATGTCACTTTCTAGCATCCTCACCTGTAGCTCTTCTGCAAACTAACCATAATATAATAGTGATGGATAGTGCAGTCCAGTATGCGCATTTCGTCCTATTTAGGACTCTTCAGCTGGGTTTGCCTGCCATAATATAAACAAAATTGTACAACAAGCTAAACAGTGACTTGACATCAGTACCGGCAGTTTGTCAGCAACCTATCCGCAAGAATTGATGCAAATCTCAAAATAAGGGTATACAGATCATCGCGTGCACAGCTGCCTCATAATTTTCGTTCACAGTGCTTAGTAAGCCACTTATCTTATCAACGTCTTAGCTCAGTAGCAATATTATCTGAATGCAAAAAGGTTGACAGAGGTTCTCCAGGAAGAAAAGCAATGCCTGAGAAACTCAGTGTACACACACACACACAGGGACCTACATTAGCCAAGTTAATTACGAATAATCATAGTGAACATTTCTGACAGACGCTGGTGGTCGCCTTCGCTTCAAATGAGATTGCATGAATTTGATTAAACAGTCTTAAACTTGTGAGTCATTCGTTGAACAACGTGAAGATTTAATAGTTGACCATGAATGATACCCACCATGTGAGGATTATTAAGATTGGTTAACTTCTCAAGCCCCAATAAATGGAGTGTGATTCGATCTATCAACCTACCGGTTAAAAGTCACCAAATCAATGAATTACAAAACCAGTACAATTACTGAAACAATTTCATTCTCAAACACTTGTCATAGAGTCAATTTCTTTTAGTTGATTCTAATTTCATACCCTCCAATAAAACTCTCTGCAAACACAGGAGAAGAAAGAACAGTCTCTTTAGCAAGAATAGTTGGATTTGGTTGGTGCAAGCAGAAGGTTCAGTCTTTAAATTAGAGTAACTATTAACCAAGTATTAATGAGATATTATAAGAAGAACATGGAAAATATTTGTCCAGATCAATTCTAAATGTAACAAAATAGTTCATGAAAACAGAAAACATTCGTCACTCGAAGAATACGGGAAATAAAAACACAACTATTAGAAAAAGAAAATATCTAATCATCAGTTGGTGAGAGATTTTTATAAATGGCTAAGGTATATAGTAATTTGTAAAGATAGAATAACTCAAAAGCGGCTGAAAAATGATCTCCGAATGATAGATAGGCGTGGCATTCTGTACACTATGAGGGACAGGTGGGATAACTGAATTCCTATTGAAGAACGAGTCTATCTAACACTGAAAAGTGCTCCGTTCTATGTTGAAGGGTGAAGTCTGACTTTTGAAAAGGTACAAAAAATGTAAAGGTTGCAAACATTTATAACCTACACCTTGCGATGTATGGTTCTTGTATCTTCGAAACATGGAATGAGCACTTTAAATGTTAGATAAATCCACACGGGAAGTTCTGAAAATTCGGTGTTTATATGGGCTGACATTTATGTGATAGATGCTGTTATCAATAACCTCATTCAACCTGCTGTGCCAATTTATGTGGCAGCAAGATGGAATGAACCCCATTGTAATCCAACCAATGTATTCGTATTCAACAAGAAAGTTTCAGTCTTGATCTTAGTGTAAGAAACTGAAGTCTTTCTGCTTGGAAACAACCGTGAGACAGACAAGATCAGTGACTAAAGACTCTACTTTCAGTAAACCTTTATTACAATCATAACCATTTTTGTTTTCTTAGTTTTTTCTTAGCCACACATTGAAATACTAGTGAGGAGTGGTGAATTGAAACAATATACCTTTGTACTGAGTTAAACATTGTTTCCATTTGTCCGTCAGTTAGGCCAGGGACGCAAGAAAATCACGCAGGAAAAAAAAGGAAAATCGACATTTCAATTTTGGGGGACCGAATAATAGTGTTTTAGGAATATTCACGGTGACTTGGACTGGTGCTGATTACTTCTCTGGGTGAATATATCATTCTATGAGAGTATCAGTATTTAATTTTTAGCTTGTTGGCACTCGTCATCAAGGCTCGTCTACAACCTTAATAGAACTGATATCGTCTCATCGACTCGAACTTACGTAGATTTATTTAAAACAAATTAAGTATATAACTTTCGGCTGATGACGATGTGCGTAAAGATGGAGTTGTGGCTCACTGATTTAGACACTCGACTTTCAACTAGTACGACATATATTCAAGTACCCACTTCACCAGCCGAAGTCTAGGTAGTCAGGTGGTAACACTGGTCACCACACAATAGGTATATTTCACTGTCGTGAGTGTTAGGTGGTTGGAGGGAATCAGCAGGAAGTCATGAATCTAGGTCTTGTGCTTGTTGACACACATCAACAAGGCGTATCTGCAACCTCTAAGGAACTGTTGTCCCATCTGAGATTCGGACCTGCGTCACCCAGCGTTGTAGTCATAGACGTTACTATTGAGTTATCCGAGTCGCGATTGATCGCCTGTAGGACTGTATTACATATATTGATTAGTTACAAGAGAGCAGCCAATTTTATATGGTTTGTCTTCAGTGCTAACTAAATTCTGTCGATTATTTTGCAATGTTCATTGGAGAAATTTGTTTGCATTGGTTGAGTTGCATTGTGTTACAAGCGTATTTATAACTGTGCTCCTGCAGAGGAAGTGAAACCTTGACATTGCTGCATTGTTGTTTGTTAGTCATTTCGAATGCTCGGGTATCTCCAAAGGATTTTATGTCGGGAAAACACCTTTGTTTTGTTTTAAAATTAGATTGATTAAATCAGACAAATTGTTCGGATGGATTATTGTGTAGTTCTGAAAATGACATTTTGTTAACCACGTTACGTAACCAATAGTTTTTTCATAGCGTATATCTTTAGTACATTTAGAATGTGGAACAATACATGTAGCAAGCAACATCTGAAGAGAGGTTACGTATACTTCTACTTCAAATTAATTCTCAGGAACCTTACTGAATGTTGAGTGTTTTCTCATTGGTGCATTATTTCACCTGATTATTTTTTTTAACCTAGAAATGGATTTGTTTAACTTCATTCATTACAAGTGAGATAAACAGACTAATTAAATCACCTTATTGGCTATTTTATACATATTGCAGTGGTTTTTGTAAACAATAGAGGTCGAACAATTCGATCCAACAAAACAACGGAGAATAACAAGTATTTCAATAAATAATAATAACTACTACCCGTTAGACAAGAAGTGGCTATCGTTCCTTCGTGGCGTAGTGGATTACGCCTTGGTGTTTGAAACGATGGGTACGAGGTTTGAGTCCCAGTGGGAACAACATCACTGGGGTGCAGGTACATCCAGCTGACGAGTCCCGAGTAGGACGAGACGCGCGTCCTGGATTCTTCTGCTAGCCACAACCAGCCAATTTACCACGTATTTTAAGTTTTTTTTCCGATTGTGTTAACAGTAAATAAATAAATTCATTGGGATTCCTTCTTACCCTTTTAATTGTCAATCTTGGGTAGTTGGGATAGGGAACCACTGGATGTTATCAAAGATCATATTACAATAGCATAGCGTCATTTCATAAGAGAAGCACGATGTAACTGCATGTAGCTACAGAGATGGATTATACAGTCATGACTGTAGTAATTAAATGTGTCACTGATTTGACGTTCTGATTGAGTATTCTGACAGCAAGCAATGATATTTCTCCCAGAGGCTTGAAAACAGTGACTTAATGGGCAAACGGCTAGTTTTCGTTTTCCTTTCCGTGATTCAAGAGATTTTTTTTCAATCAAGTGAATCATGGACACGAATCCACGCCTGTCCATCTACTGAGAGTTGGACAAGCAGGTAATGTTGCTCCTTTCTGTAATAAGTGTGAAAAGAAATAGAAATGCAACTTGAAAAGCAAATGAACATTTTGGGATCAGGCGATCAGTCACACCTATTGAGTAAAGGTTGCGCAGGTTTCAGTAGGTAGAGTAGAATTCAAACCTGTGACTCGTTTGTCAAGTGACTAAACCAATGAATCACAGCTCCACCCGGGCTGTATGAACAATAATCCGTATATTCTGAAATAGCTTCTTGTAACTCAGGAAATTGGTAGTTAGGTCAAAATGTACTGTGAACTGAGGTAGTTGAGACAAAGAACGTTTCCCACATCATACCAATCATTACCTTCGGTGAAAATTTAGCGGTTAGAATGCTTCATTTCTCATAAGAAACGATACCGTATGATTCTATTTATTTAGAAGTTGGTCGTTAATTAGTTGATCGCTTCTAATCTTTTGATCATTTCCAATAGTGTTTAACATTTTAAAAGATTCAATCTGCTAAAAGTGACCAAATTTCTGAAGATTTCAGCTTGTTTGAAAATGTTAACCAGTTTTGAAAAGTTTCATTAGAAGAGATGCCACTCACGTCCCTTACGAATTTCGACAGTAATACACAAGTTTGACAAATAGTAGTATACTTCAAATATCAAAAGATACGACGACATTAATTATAAAATGATAATAATTACCTGATACTCTATCTGCGGTCTTTGAATTTTCTTTCAGTTTCACTGCCTTGGTTGAAATAATCACGGTTGGAGTGAAATCACTGACATAAGTAACTGAATTAACAGTAGGACGAATAATAGGAGAATCTCTTTCGAGTAAACAACAGCTTTCTGATGTAGTAGGTTTAACAGACACGACTATCGGAGAGGATTGAACAGATGCTGACGGCATTTTTGTGTCTACTGCACTAACAATTTTTCTGTCATTTTGATTCATTCCAGCCATAGTGTTAATTGACTCAGAAACTGAGGACAATGTAGTTGTAGGAGATAGAATACATGTAACAAGAGGCGGGCTGATTGATGCAAACACAGTAGGGATAGAATTCCGGTTACTGACATAATTTCCTTGAATTGTATATTTGAAGAGACAATTTTATTATAATGAGTAACTACGTTGTGTTGCACATGCATACATACCAATACTAAGACATTAGTAATAGGCAGTGGCTAGCAGTGGATGCGTGCTTCGTTCTGTTTGGGATTCGTCAGCCGGGCTCGTTTGCCTCTCAGTGAGCAATGTTGTTTCCACTAGGACTCAAACTCGAGACCGATCGTTTCAAACGTCAGAGGGTTATTCACTAGACCACCGAATCATGATAGCTACTTTGGTCCACTCAACGACGGGATAATACAAGCAATAACATTAACAATACCAAGATAGTTTGCATTGTTGGTGAATGAGTAAAAAAAATACGATGGAAGTGTCAACTGCCTTTATACTCATGGACTGGAATAGTTGAATCTTAGTGAGTATTGAAGTAAACACTAAAACTATAACTGGCTACATGTTTATTCAAACGACGGATAGGTATGCCCAAAACAACGAAACTGTGATAGTTATCTCTTGTGTAATAAATATTAGTTGTCAAATATCCTTTTAAATTTAGATGTGTGCACGTATCTGTGACACTGCAACCTGTTTTATACATTATCTACTCTTCAAAATCATTTCATAGAAATTTTCTAATTCCCTCTTAAGAATGGCGCTACATAAGAGACCAAACAAAGTGTACGTTTAAATAAACAACGAATTACACTTTGAAGTAGGAATTTTTTAGCTGAAATAATTTGAAATAGAGAACTCTGCTCCAAAACAGTTTCAGCTCACAAAATACTTAACATTTTGAGATTAAGGTCTTTCATCAAACCAAAGAAACAGATATCAACGAAATTTGCTCTTTGAAATGTTCCATACTGTGCACCGGGCTCGCATATCGCAATGACCCAATGAGATATGCTGGTTAAGACGTTTGTTTGTTCAGGTACCAAATTACCAGAAAGGTACGTTGGATAGTGGTAAGACAAAAGGTAGTTACCACTACAACGCAAACAGTGAACCTGTGATGAAGGTCAAAGTGCGAAGTTGTACTTCTGGCTGAACCACATATGACAGCAGTAAGTTTTGGCACGGATGAACAGCAACCTAGGATGATTCAACGTTCTTTATAGGAATTAGGATTAGAAGACGTTAGCCATCAAAATGGTACACTCTCACTACCCTGCAGCCTTATGATGTCAACTGTAAGGTAACTTTTAGCTGGATACAAAAGTGTCTGGACTGTCATTATACGAAAGTAAATACTTTAAAGTTGGAGGTTAAAGTTAACGCTATAAAAAAACACATCGTTTCGACAAAATCCACAAAATACTCATTCGACTCACCAGGACCTCTGTTGCTGAAATTACCTGGGGAAGAGTTTTTTCTGACCGCAATCTGACCCCTTTTCCAAGACACTGAACCTAAATGTTGTGAAAATAGTAGAAAAAAACATTAGAAATCAACATAGAACATAGACTAGTATCAACATGACATCCACGCATAGAATTTCTTGCAGCTAAAACAACACCGTCTCGGTGCCCGATTTATCTCTGCACTACTGTGAAATAAAAGAAATACAGCGATATCCGGGCACCAAAGACGAAAAAACGATTATCTGATACTGGAAAAGCAGTGCCGAATCTCAGCATTCACTTTCTGAGCACACAAGTGTTTACGTTGCATCATCAACTATCCCATCGGTTTCTGGAGAAACATACTGCCTCAGTAGCACGTCGACAATTCACTCTCTTCTCTCCAGTCTTTTCAACCTGGCTCCATGACCGCCCACAAGCTTTCATTTCTTCCTCATATGATCTCCTCCATGTCACCCTCGCCTCGGACACCCAACTCGTCGTTTCCCCTCTCGATTAAACTCGACCACTCGGCCTAGCCTGATGTCCCCAATCGGCCCTCTCAGTGTATGCTCAATCCATCTTCACTTTCTTCTGCATATTTGTTGGGCGTTGGGTTCTTGGTTGGTTCGTTGCCAGTTAGCCAGAGTTCCTTGTTGCTTACTCTTCCTGATCATCTGATCGCCATCTTCAGTATCGAGTGAGCGTAGGCGGCAGCCGTTGATGAATGTCTGTAGTTTGTTGGGAATGCTTATCGTAACGCAGCAAGTCTCTGAACCATATAGAAGCACTGACTTGATATTGATGTTGAAAATCCGGTTGTTGTTCACGCTTTATGCTGAGTGAAGTAGATCTCCACACCGGTTTCAGATCAATGAACGCCTGTCCTGCTGTCTTTCAGAACCTGGCTTCGACGTCATCTGTGCCGCCTGTAGTTGAAATGATGCTGCCTTGCCTAGGTAGGTGAAAGAGATTACTTCCTTTAGATTTCTCCCGTTGATGGTCTTTTCACTGGTCAGACAGTGTATCCCCATCTTCTCACAGCTCCTCACGGTTTTCTGTATGATCCAGTCCACCACAATCAGACAGATCGTCGGTGATAGTAGACAGCCTTGTCTTACTCCTGTCCCCTGTCTTCACTTCAAAAGCACCACTGAGCTTTCCATTGTCAATCACTCAGCATGTAGCATCATTTAGCATATAGCCGTTGAATGAGGTTGATAAAGGTTTGTGGTATTGAAACCGTAGTGTTGAAGCAGTTTCCAAATTACTTCTCGGTCGACGCTGTTGAAGGCCTTCTCAAAATCGATGAAGTTGAGGTAGAGTTAACTGTTCTGTGATGATGCGCAGCGTTGCGTTGCAATTTGATCCGCACATGATTTGTTCTTCCTGAAGCCAGCCAGCCTGTTTCGGTAGTAATTTTGAATCCAGCTCATCTTTTAGTCTCTCCAGGATGATGCAGCATAATATTTTTTTTGCTTGGGGTGGACAGCAGCGTGATTCCCCGCCAGTTCTTGCAAAGACTGAGGTCTCCCTTCTTTGGGAGTTTGACAAGGTAGCCTTTCTTCCAATCAACCAGTAGGTAACTTTCCTTCCTCCCGAACCTTCTACAATAGTGGTGTGATTGTGTCTGCTGTTGTCGCTGCGTCTGTTTTCAGTGCTTCTGGAGGAATTCCATCTGGTCCTGCTGCTTCCCGGATTTCAGCAACTTTATGGCGCTCAGGACTTCATTACTGCTTTTGTCGGACGGTTTGTGTTCGCTGATAAATCTGTGGCTGCGCTGCTGGTGGTATTTCTGGACGAGTTGCAGGTGGTTGTAGTGGTCGATTCAAGAGCTTTTTGAAGTGGTCAGTCCATCGTCTCTCCTCTTCGCCAACTAGGTTTCCTTCAATATCTTTCACCGGTTTCATCTGCGTTGATCTCTTCCCAGATAGTAACCTGGTTATTTGGTATAATGTTGTCCTACCTGCAGCCTGTTTTACTTCATTTGCCAGTGTGTCGTAGAAGTGTCTTTTGTTCTTCCGTGCACTCTTCTTCACTTCTTTTTCCAGTGTAGTGTTTTATAGGTTGTACTCAGTTCCTCTTTTCGTTGTTTGTCCCTGCACTACACTGCACTGGTTCATCTTCTGTTTCACCATCTTTCTCTCCCTCCTCTATCAGCTTCTATGTGTCTGTCGAGATCCATTCCTTATCTTCTTTCTTCTTCCTTCCTAATATCCTTATCCAGGTTTCTTTCTACATCTCTTTCAAAGAGTTCCAGTGTTCATCCACGCAGGTCTCTCAAGGGATGTTGCTCAATATCTCTCATTTTGTCTTGATGACTGACGTGAAGATGTTCTTTGTAGTTTCGTCTTTCAACTTGATTTTGAAGGTTCCTTGTACTAGATAGTCTGATGGTGTGAACCTACATCTGCTCCCCTTCTTGATCTTGTGTCCAGTAGGCTGATTGCGGCACCACTTTCTTAACATTGAGATGAAGTCGATCTGATTTTTAGTGTGTCCATCTAGTGAATGTCCTTGTGTTTGTACACACTGCCTCCAATCACCAAATCATTAAATGCTCAGAAATCTACAAACAGTTATCCATTCTCGTTACTTTCACCAAGTGCTTCTCGACCCATGATGAGTTCTCTTCCTGTATTGTCTGCTCCCACTTTGGCATTCATATCATCCCAACCATTAGAATTCTGATGTTGCCAACTGGGGTGGGGTCTTGACGATTACTGATTGCAGTTGTCTGTAGAATTCCTCCTTCTTCTCTTAATCTGCATTATTTTTAGGTGTGTAGCGTAGGATTGTATGATTGTGACTTTTCTTCCTTTTGAGTTTAATCTTGCTGTCATGATGTGACCCTGCACGAGGAGATTGATACCCACTGCATGAGAGCCTTCGATGCGGTCGGGGACATCATGATAGCCACTCCATAACTCAGTGTGCTCGTGGTTGTCGTCTGGGTGACAATATCGGAGTAGATTAGATTATTGACTCTCCAGTTGACAGTTAGGAGAGTCCACTTCCATTCCATCTGCTTTCCCTGATTCCTGGCACTTTTATGCTATACCTTCTCATCTCTTCGGCAATCTGGGCAGCCTTGCTAGGTTCAAACATTGTGCGGACATTCCATGTCCCCATTCTTACTTTCGTTTTCATCGAGAGAAGCCGACTGGTTTCCCAAAGACTTTCATCAACTGGCGTCACTTCGCCTCTTCGAATCCAGGGAGGAATAAGTTTATTTTCCTTTATATATTTTTTTTGCGCTTTGAAGTTTCTTTAGCGGTTAGATTGGTTTTATGGGGTAGGGTTGCTAGCTCTATGCCCAACCTTCCCTCTTTATCCGGTCTTGGAACGGGCTAGTTACTAGTGAACTAGTTAACCAGGTGAAGTTAAATCGGTGTCTTTAATGTCTTTAATAAGTGAGAATATAACGTGTACCTCACAAAGTTGGAAAACGTAGTGCTGTTACAATAAAGTTCAAAATCGCATTAATAGTATGTTTTATTTCATGGTATTTATGTGTAAACGATACGATACTCGGATGCAATACGTTTAAAGATAGAAAAATGACTCCTGAATGCGTTACTCATCTGACACCAGGAGAAAACAATAGGATTAAAGGTATATTTACTTCCATCGAAATAGTTCGATTATAGCTAAAAGTTCAGTCGTTTATAAACTTTTTTAAGAACCTTGACTAGGGAAAACAAAATAGCATATTCAAGGTGTTAAATGGACCAATCAGCCTTTAGTATCTAAAATCGCAGTAAAAATAAATATTATTGCATATTGCGAAGAGAGCGCGAAAATAAGGTTTAAATCTCATAATGGAAATATATACGTTAGTTTTTAGGAAACAGCCGTTACTAGCATAATGAGGGATTCGGAAATAGGGGCTTAGTCCAACATATCAAACATTTATATCTCAACCAAGTATTTTGAATATTACGACGTTCCCAGCAGCAGTTCTCTGTGCGATAGTTCAACTGCTGCTAAACTTTTAATGTGGAAGTATACTCTACCATAGTGTCCAAGTTTTACATTGTTGCATGAGTTAATTGTTTTAAGTTTAGAACTAGGATCATGCTTTCTTGTAAGCTTTCAAAGCAACCAATTAACAGTTGTTTTCGACAGGGATGCAAGACAACAAAACCAGAAGAGAAGAAGCACTCCATAACTCAGTGTGCTCGTGGTTGTCGTCTGGGTGACAATATCGGAGTAGATTAGATTATTGACTCTCCAGTTGACAGTTAGGAGAGTCCACTTCCATTCCATCTGCTTTCCCTGATTCCTGGCACTTTTATGCTATACCTTCTCATCTCTTCGGCAATCTGGGCAGCCTTGCTAGGTTCAAACATTGTGCGGACATTCCATGTCCCCATTCTTACTTTCGTTTTCATCGAGAGAAGCCGACTGGTTTCCCAAAGACTTTCATCAACTGGCGTCACTTCGCCTCTTCGAATCCAGGGAGGAATAAGTTTATTTTCCTTTATATATTTTTTTTGCGCTTTGAAGTTTCTTTAGCGGTTAGATTGGTTTTATGGGGTAGGGTTGCTAGCTCTATGCCCAACCTTCCCTCTTTATCCGGTCTTGGAACGGGCTAGTTACTAGTGAACTAGTTAACCAGGTGAAGTTAAATCGGTGTCTTTAATGTCTTTAATAAGTGAGAATATAACGTGTACCTCACAAAGTTGGAAAACGTAGTGCTGTTACAATAAAGTTCAAAATCGCATTAATAGTATGTTTTATTTCATGGTATTTATGTGTAAACGATACGATACTCGGATGCAATACGTTTAAAGATAGAAAAATGACTCCTGAATGCGTTACTCATCTGACACCAGGAGAAAACAATAGGATTAAAGGTATATTTACTTCCATCGAAATAGTTCGATTATAGCTAAAAGTTCAGTCGTTTATAAACTTTTTTAAGAACCTTGACTAGGGAAAACAAAATAGCATATTCAAGGTGTTAAATGGACCAATCAGCCTTTAGTATCTAAAATCGCAGTAAAAATAAATATTATTGCATATTGCGAAGAGAGCGCGAAAATAAGGTTTAAATCTCATAATGG